AAGAGTCGTTGTTGTAATCGCGAAGCGACCGGAATTGCGCGAGGTATGCCTTAGGCCTTACCGGGATTTGAATTGTTGCGATGTCATGACGAGGAAATAAAAAACGACACTCTTTTCTTCCCGACCTGATAGCAACGCAGTCTGGAAGGATGTCTAACAAGAGATGCGTGTCTAGTCAAAGTGGCTTTTTTAGATGAGATATATAATGATTGTAGCGTAATGTAGTTGAAACAGGCGGAAAATTTCGTTGAACGAATATCGAATAATCAGCTTTTGAAAAATATTCGAACGAACGAATATTATTCGATTTGTGATTTTCAGATTATTCGAATTCGAATATTCGAATGATGCTACATTTCAAAATTCGAATGAATGAATATTCGAAAAATGGGGTTGATCGAATGTTTGACTATTCGAATGATCGAATAACTACATATGATCGAATATTCGACTATTCGAATATTCGAATAATCATACCTGTCCAAATATTCGACTATTCGAATAATTCGATTATTCTAGTGGCTCAAATGTTTCTGATTTCCTTAGTCGCTATATTTGATCTAGATTTATAGCTGACTAGCTGGCTTACCCGGCTCCGCCCGACCCTGTCAAAACACTATGTCAAAGAACACTATCCCTATTCCCGTACGAACCTTTCCCTGTGCCCATGCCTACATGCCAAATCACTTTTCCACTGTTTTTTTAATCAGCATGCTCGATTACCCCCACCTCCTTGTGCCAACTCTCAGCTCCGTTGCTCAAACTTTGCAAAAAATCGATAAAATCGATAAAAGTAGTGGACGATCTTAAAAACTAATATTGTATCCGTAATCAGCATGCTCGATTACCCCCTGAGCAAATTCCCAGCCCCGCAAATCAAACTTTGCAAAAAAATCGATAAAATCGGTAAAAGTAATCGATAATCCTGAAAACTAATATTGGATTCGGAATCCCCACGCTCGATTACCCCCCCCCCCTGTGAAAACTCCCAGCTCCGCAGGTCAAGCTTTACAAAAAAATTGATAAAATATGAAAGTAATCGATAATCCTGAAAACTTATATCGTATTCCGAATCCCCATGCTCGATTACCCCCCTGTGCCAACTCCCAGCCCCGTTGGTGAACTCTGCAAAAAATCGATAAAAATCGATATGGATCGATGACGTAAAGTAGCCTATGACACCCGCCGGGGCTCGAAGTGTATGTGTGCCAAGTTTGGTCCGGATCGGTTCAGAAATGGAATTTTCTATTCGGAACATACGTACATACATACATATCAGTGGCGTACCCAGGATTTCCGCTCGGGGGGGGGGGGGGCGCGACAAAAATTTTTTTCAAATGACGGTGCGTGGCGTTAGCCACGCACTCCGAAAAAATTTTAGGGGTGCTTTTCAAAGTTTTTGCGGTCCCCAACCCCTAAAATCTGGAAAAAGGGGGCGTGGCGTCAGCCACGCCCCCGAAAAAAAATTTTTTTACAAGGCTAATTTGAATTTTTAAAAATTTTTAAAAATTATTTTAATTATTTACAAGTATAAATAAGTCGCTCGCACATTTTTATAACCCATATAAGTAACTTTTAAAAATTTGGCGACCCATTCTCGGGGGGGGCGCGCGCCCCCCCCCGCCCCCCCCCCCCTCGGTACGCCACTGATACATATAGACAGACAGACATACAGACACAGACATACAGACATACAAACAGACATTCAGCTTTATATACAGGGTGTCCCAAAAAAATGTATCGAACGTTTGATCGTTAATAACTCTCTTCCCAAGAAGTCTTTTGCCTTGCTTCAGGTACCGATTTGTAGAGCTGGCTTCAACTTAGATTTGCATTGTAGAACGAATCACTCATCTCTCTTCATTACTGTAGGATTACGGTAGAAACTTGAAACATATGGTGTTAATGTGAAAAAAGCTGCCGTTTCAAAATTTTTCAAAAAATTGTGAAAACTTGTGTAATAGGGTTTTTATGGACGCTGAGTTCAATAATCAACTATTCACAAGATTACGAACCTTTCTAAACGGTGCAATCCCACTTTTTAGGAGAATTGAAAAAATGGCCGCTACCTCTCATTTGGCATAACTCTTCAATGAAGCATCACGATAAGTTGGAAACTTTACAGTTAGAATCAGCAACTCTAATTTGCCTAGCGTAAGAGCTTTCAGGCTGTTTTGTTTCCTTTCTAAGGCAAAATATGGCCTTTCATTGCTTAAAACCCTCTTTGAAGTTTCTACCGTAATCCTACAGTAATGAAGAGAGATGAGTGTCGTTCTACAATGCAAATCTAAGTTGAAGCCAGCTCTACAAAACGGTACCTGAAGCAAGGCAAAAGACTTCTTGGGAAGAGAGATATTAACGATCAAACGTTCGATACATTTTTTTGGGACACCCTGTATAAGATGATTTATAGCTGATGCGTAGCAAATGGTAAGGATGACTGGATTACTGTCGCTTGGTCACGATTCTCCTAAAAAACCGAAGAATTTTACTGAAGCATTTACTTCAAGGTGTTCATTGTCCTTTGAGAGGGCTAATAAGCTTTACTTAGCAGCGTCAAGTATTTATTATTTCTCACAAAAGTTCCTTTAGAAGCTACACAGGACCTTCTCCCAAAGATACAGATTCAACATGGAAAACCTTTTGAAATAGGTAATTGGCTGTAATTTATTCGTGACTAGTTGGCATACCCGGCTCCGCCCGGGCCTGTCAATAATATATTTGTAATCAGCATGCTCGATTACCCCCCTGTGCCAACTCCCAGCCCTGTAGCTCAAATTTTGCAAAAAATCGATAAAATCGATATCGATCGATAACGAAAAGTAGCCTATGACACGCTCCCTGCCCCGAAGTATATGTGTGCCAAGTTTGGTCCAAATCGGTTCAGAAATAAAATTTTCTATTCCGCACGTACGTACAGACATACAGACAGACATACAGACAGACATTCAGCTACCTCTGCAGCAGAGTTGACGCACTGTTGTCTACATAATATTTTTGTGAACATCTAAATCCAGAAGTCAATATCTGTATATTAGCTGCTAATCTAATATTTGTCGGAAATTATCAATCGCTGAGTTTCACAGTCCCTGTTGAAGTGAAAGCGTGGCCGTACGAAGCCATGTTTGGCTCAATGCTCCATGCAACTAGGTTTCTTTAAATCCTTAAAGCTTAAAGCTGAGGTGAAAGTGCAACAATGTGCTTGATTTCGCAATTTTTATGCGACTTTTTCGCAATAAAATTGCTGGTAGCTTCGTCCACAGAAGCGGTAAGCAGAAAGATAGACAGATTCGAAGTCAGCGTTTTATGATGCATCAAATGGTATATAGCTTGTTTGGTTTGGCCACTTCGACCTCTGACTATCCCCTTGTTATGGTGACTGACAAATAACATACAGGCTGCCGCTACCAGTCAAGTGGCTCAGGCTCTCGCGACCGCCTTGCTCTAGCCTTGCGCTGGTTAACGCATTTTTCAGGTTTTTTGACAAGCGGGCAATGGTTAGGCCGGCAAGGCAAAAGGAGATTTCTAAATGAAGGAATGAATATTGCCCATTGTGCTGCTATAATGACTGCTGGTTCCCTCACATGCTTATGCAAGCTGTTTGAGGGCCAGTAGTCCGCTAAAGTGGCGCCTAATGACGGCTTTGCTTCTTCACCCAAATTTGTGCTTGGAGGTATTTGCATATGCATAAGACTTGCCATCACTATTCTCTGGCATCACTCGCGATTGCCTTAAAAGTGGGACCTTGCTAGACATTCTGTCATATGATCACTCATTTGTTAGTTCGACCGATATGGGACATACTTGCACTCAATGTAGAACAGCTAAAGTTTTCTTTTGACATCGAATGTTCGAATAAATGAAACTCAATATTCGAATATTCGAACAGCTGTCTTTCAAGTTGACTCGAATATTCGAATAACTGTCATTTAAAACTCCTCGAATGAACGAATATTCGACTGACTCATTTTTCCAAATCGTCGAATGAACGAATTATTCGAATACAGAACTTTTTCATTTATTCGACTATTCGAGTAATCGAATAATTGGACTTTCTCGAACATTCGACTACTCGAATATTCGAATAGTCTTTCGGATGAAAGTGAAAATCAACCACCTTAAATACTACCTCTTAAACTATCTAACGTTATAGTAAGACACAAAAGCGGTGTGCTATTTCATGAACACCCTTTTAGCTACGCCCTAATGTCTTCTCGAAGCCGTCATCCCAAAGTAAAGGTGAAACGTTTTTAAAAATGCCATGCTTACTCATTAAGCCACTACTCAAGTTTAAGTCCGATGTGGTTCCTCTATGTAACAAATCGCGCTCAAAGTTCACCCGAGACGTTGCCTTCGAATGGTTGCTCCCTTTTATGTCTTTTGGCAAGGCCTGCCTCAAAAGCAGCATCCAGGCAGATCTACGCTTTCCATTACCATTCTATAAGCGGACCTCAGAATTAGAGCATCTCGTTAGTTCGGTTCTTTGATGTGGGCTTTGAAAGGATTTATGCGAATGCTATCATGCCACTCTAGGAGGCCCACACTCAAGGATTTCTCCCTGACGGACTTGTCCTTGCAGATATGCTATTGCTTCACCACAGGGCTGTCACACAAGTGATATGCTTCACTGTGTGCATGCTGCCAATGCTGAAATGAACAGATTGCTTATAATGAAGTGCAGCGATCGTATGGTATAAGGTTGGACTGCAAGTAATTGTACGATATTCCTATGAACAGTATTGCATGAAAAAACCCCGCTAATTGTGATGTCATGCTTGTGCGAAGACGACTCAGCTAACCAGTTTTATACTACTGCAGCCACCTAAATCGCAAGATATCAGTATATTGGCTGCGTGCTGTACACATTTTCTATCTTTGTACATGCCAAATGCTAATCAAGGAATGTGACAGCGGAAGAATTGAATAAGCTCACTTACTGAAGTATCCAAAACAACGGAAACTAGAGCGTTGAATTGTATTGAGTTGTCATTGCACATGTGGTAATTTTTTGCCGATTAGGGACAGTCTCAAGGCACAAGAGTTACATAAGAGTAAGAAACTAAAAAAAATAGCTGAAAAGCATATCAAATCATGAGAAGAACGACCCGTCATAACAGTCATAACATGCAATCAAAAACTACGATTGAAATGTTCTTACAAATTAAAGTGTATATTGGTTTTGGTTGGCACCTAAAAAGAAAAGAACAATGATCGTCAAGAGCAGCGCAGAATACTGGTTTGCTGCCTCGTTGCACATATAACCTTTACAGAAACATGCCCTCCTGTATTCGATTCCCACTTGATGTGTGAAGTGGTCGGGAGATTGATAACATCTGAAATTATATATTTATTAGAGAATCCCAACAGCAGCAGACAGTCCAAATTCTCACAGTGGTGGTCCTTTAGCAGCTGGCGCTGCTATCTATTAGGTTGTGTAATAAGTTTTGTGCCATTTCTTCCTTCGATTTTTTACCATTATTAATTACCCTACCTGGGATAAAGTGTATATGCTTTCGACAAAACAACCTATTATACTCTTATGATTGTAATGTCACTGTTTGTGCTTGTTCCCTTCCTTCCACCAATTTTAATGCCATTTTTTCAAAAGTCGGCAAAGCAAAAGTTTGCTGCAGCGATTTCGTTGCCTCGCTTACAAGCCGTGTAGCCCCCAAAAATTGAATTTTGGGTAACTAACTTATGAATTTGGCGATTTATGCCAAAGGCCATCCCTACTGCTTTCTGAGTCATCTACCGTCCTTTCTCAGGAGACTGGCTGCAAATGCCCAATGTCAACATTGAACAGACATTAGAAAGAAGATTTTTCTGAGTTTGAAGAAATTTTTTTGAAACTGTTCTGCATTTTTGAACCTCTGTACAAGCTACAGCATTCTTTCTTACACTCAGCAGATTTTTCGAGCTGTTTTGTAAGCATTCTGACTTAAACGGAGAGGGCTCAATTCTTTTGTTAAAAATGAATTTTTCTCCTTTTTGGTTTTCCATTATTGATGCTGGGACACTTTTTGAATCCCAATGATGTAGAAAACTGAAGTGAAGATTTTGATGGAGCAGACTTAGAGCTTTCAAATGCATATATACATTTCACAAAACACCATACAAAATAATGTGAAAAAATTAGAAGAAAAAAATGGGACAGAACCTATTACACAACCTAAAATTTACTTGTTCATTCTCTTCTCGGTACGTTTCGCATTTATCTATTTCGCTCAAGTGCATCGAAAAGCAGATTGTTGCGCATTTTCTTAGATTTCAATTTCACAAGCAACGAGGAAGCTAAGCGGAGAAGTAGAACGAGTTTGTTGCTAATGATTAGCTTTGACTCTCAGTTTTTTTTTCGAAGACGTTCTAACTAATGTCCGACGTATTCTTCCTGTGTACACTCTGACCAAGCTGGTTCAATTTTAGCGAACAACCTTCATATGGAGTATCCCAGGAAATGTATTGAACGTTTGATGGCTAATGAATCTCTTGTCTGCCTTCGCAGATCTTTAAGCGTACCGTTCTGTTGGGCTAGGTCAAACGTGGATTTCTACAGAAAATGGATGATTAATCTCTTTTGATTTAATAGTACAATAAGAATGAAGTTTTGTGCGTATAAGGGCATGAATCACTCCAAAAAGTTGCCGAAAAGGCTAGAAACCTTGCTACTATGCATAGCACCGATGGTTTCATGTATGTGCTTTTCACTTTACCTCTAGCTCGAAAAAAAGGTGGGTTTACATAACGTCTCCCTGTTTATGCTAATCTAGTTATACCATCTAATCTGCTCTACAAACATGCGCAAAGCTCAATAATATAGCGGGTTCAGCCCTCCAGAATCTAATATATAAAGAATCGTAAGCGCAATTCAAGGGTAGAGGAACGAACGCCTCAATTCGGCACCGTCGCCGCGGACTGCTGGTCCTTCCGTCCTAGTGTTGTGCATCGTGTTAGGAGCAGTGGTCCGCGGAGGCGGTGTCTAATTGAGGCTTTCGTTCCTCCACCCGCAATTCAAAAATGTGCACATAGCGGGAAACAGCGGTGCGGTCCCGAAGCGCGCGAACGCAATCTAGCACCTTTAATTACTGGTCCACTAGTTTGAGTCAACTTTTCCCAGATGTCAACTGATTTGCAATGGCAACGTTATGGCAAAGCTCCTACCGTAATCTTATCGTAATAGGGAGAAATAGGTGATTTGCTTGTTTTGTACAAATGTCCAAGTTGCTAGTCCTATTTTATGCTTCCCAAAGGTCCTCAAAAGCTGTTCAGTCAAGAGAATTATTAGCATATTGAATAGCAGCGCGGATTTGCAGTTCGCTATGCTCAAGACGTGAGCAAGTATGAGCCAATGCACTAAAGTCTAAGTCGTGCTTGGGAAGAGGGGGAGATGACTGGAGAAGGCAGGCTGAATAAATCTTAAATAGAATCAGCAATGTAATGCACACGTGAAGTTTATGTGTTGCCGGAGTGAAGAGCGCACTTTTACATAGAAGTCATTGTTTGAGCTAGCAAACAATTACCAGTAGCACCTCAAAGACTTCTAACAGGAGACTTTTCAAGATTCTCGAATTTGTTTTGGTCGTGTTGGGGCAATGTAGAGTCAGCAATGTAATGTCCCTAAAGCACAATTTCTCGCTTCCAATAAATGAATAGATCTATTTGCTTCTTGAAACGAACCTCGTCATTGCCTAATTTTTTCGTGTTATTCAAAGGACTTTCAAAATTCGTTCTAGCAAGACGCAGTCACAAATGTAAGTCAAGCCTTAGACATATTCTATGACATACGAACGCGCCTGTGTCAAATACCAATGCGTGCAAGCGGCTGAAAGCGTTGGTTCTCAAGCGCTGAGGTCCTTAAGGATTCGTAAGCGCGCATCCTCCTTCATTTCCAAATTTACTGACTGTTGGTTTTACTTTTTCTAGAAATGCGCTCGCCAATGTCAAAGACAGCGCAGTAGTTGACTTAAATTGAACGAAGTTGACCATCTATGGTACCTAGTACAACCGCTCGCGCCAGTTGACTTTAAAGAAGGCACATTCGGTTAGGTTTACGCAGCTTATGCTCGTTACGATTATATTCTTTCACGTCATATCCTGACAACATTTTCGCAAGTTTTGGGTTTGATTTAGAAGAGATGGAACTATTATACTAAAACTGCATCAATGCTGTCAATTTACGTTTGTTACAACGCTAACTCCCCTCCCCCTCCTCTCATCTTAGCTATCAGAGAAATCATTAGTAATTGTGCGATAACTCGCCTGTTCTCATCCGGAACTGTAAACGTCGGATCCATTATTGCATCAACGCAACCACGCAGCATATTGACTTCAAGGCCTCCTGAACTCTCAGGTCACACAATTAAGCTGAGATAGTACATTCAAATACCATCTTCCAGTATCTTCGCTGAAGTCCACTTCATACAGTGGCCCTTGCAACCAGAAGACGTGCGATCAGCATAAATCCGTAGAGGATCAAAGATACATTCAAGAGGCGACAATGGTAGTAGATCGGAGACATTGCTTATCTAAAAAATCAAAATGCGGATGCGATCTTAAAAATGTGAAGTTGTAGCTTGCTTGAAAGGTCGCAACGAGCTTGTATAAAGAGAACAACGTACAAATTGATCACATCTTATAGTTTTTGCTGCAATCCCTCATTGGTTTAAAAAAAAACTGACCTTCAAGCCGGGTATTCGCTCAGTGTAGAAGGACCAGTCTTCATTGCTTCGACACGAAAAGCATTCCACTAAAATGTCGAAAGTTGCAGCTGCTATGTATAATAAACACTGATATACCAACAGCTGATTTCGCTTTAGCTAAAAAAATCCACGAATGATATCCTTTAAGTGTTTCAATTTATCACAAAGGCTTCTTGAAGTGTCCTCTATGTTTTCGACCAAAGAAAAAAGCCACTTGTAGATGAATGCTCTTGAAATTGTTTTTGCAATCTTCTTTATTTTAACTCATGGAGCGTGCTGGCAGCGGTGGAACCTTTGATGCTGATATGCGTGATCTCGACATATTCTTATATGAGAACTAGCTGGCGCTTCCGTTCCCATCTAAGTCGAAGTTTGAAGGCAGCGGCTCGATAAAACTAAACATTTTGAGAACCTGATGCGGTAGGCTTAGCTCCAATTATGAAACTACAGCAAGTTCTGTAGCACAGCGTGCCCTCTTTGCCGAAGAAGTTGCCTTGCAATCCATGTGCTCAGACTTGTTTAGTGCGCGCTCTGACAAGTGCGAGGTTGTCCTCCCATGGGTAAGGGAGGAAGGTCGCCAGTTGAGGGGGGGGGGGAGGAACGAAAGCCACCAGTTTGAGCCGCCTTTTACTACCAACTGGTCCTTTTGCAGTGTTGCTGCATGTGCAATTTTATGATTATGAGGGTCTCGCAACGTTCGTCTATAACGCGAGTACTGTCCTACTAGTCCTGATACAAAACGGAGGACCCTTGGAAGTGATCTTTCTCAATTTCTGCGCGCTATCCAAAGTAAATTTTTGGGTCAGTAAGGATTTCTGAGGTCGTATTGTTGTCAAGCCACTGCCTTCAATGTACCTGCAAAGGGTAATTTTTTGCTCCAAAGCGCTAAAATCAAAATCATTTACGGCTGTGCAAGTGATTGGAAGTATCGAAATCATATGTGCGTACCAAATCCACATTCTACAACCAATCCTGGTCTTTTTTCGGGATATGATTGCGAGAATTCAATGAAGTACCAATTCCCTGCTCCACTTCCTCAAAGAAACAAATCCTGCCAAACGGGCCTGAACTTTCAGAATAACATTGTGTAGACACACCTATACATCACGCGGAAACTTCTCCATGAGAATCCTATTCAGCCAACCTCATATTGTAAAAGGAGAGGATTCGCCGTGAGAGCTGCTCACATATTATTTCTTGGAAACCACAGAATCTGAAAACCCCGAGAGGGCCTTGCCACATAGACCAGCAGTTGCATATGCCAGTCTTGCTTGCTATTTGTCTAGAATGACGACTCTGTAGTGCACACAGCTTTGACCGTCGTGGCACATACAACCGGCTAGTCAATGCACACATGATCGCTGATGTTTATATTATAGCTCAGCACAACATCGCTCTCTGCAAGGTGTTCTAGAAAGTTTACCATTTTGTTATAGTCACCTTCACCCGTTCCAGAAAAATATATAGGCTCACAGAGCTCGGCACAGGTGGCTTAAAAGCAAGCTGGATATCGTTTTTGGGACAAATAACAAAGAGGATATGGTTTTTGTGGATCCGAAGTTAGTTTTTTTAGTCGACGTTCCGTTTTAGGTCGATTCGGAGAATCTGGATAAGGAGGTTCAAAGGGAACTTCGTAAACCTTTGCGAAAGTCGGAAGGGACCTCGTTTTTGCATTTTCATTTTTTTCCAATATTACACATAATTTTTTAGCCCATAAAAATGCGTAGGTAGCCAGAACTGTACGACGTACAAAGTCAGGTAGCCAGTAAAAATTGTGAGGTAGTGTAACTCACTCTTTAGACCTTTGACTAGTCCGGCAAGCAGAGCAATAACTGCATACGTTGTTGTATACATCATATCCGCGGAACCTAAACTGGGTTTACAGCAAACTCGCAAATTAAGATAGTAGATGCCGCGAACTCTGCATTCAAAAAGCGGCATCACAACATAGTAATAACGGAAAACGAGATACAGGTGCAATCCTAAATTCTGAGTATGACAAAGATTAGTTAGCATTGCTTGCTGTTCATTCCGCTAAAAGGGCGAAAGGCTTAAAAGTTTCGCTCACATGCACAATGACAACCACCTAATGCAAGAAGGGTGGACGATAAACATGGCCAAACTATTTGAGTAAGAGATCAGTCTCGGTCTTCTCAAACAGAAAACAACTGCGATGAATTTGAGGAATGATTTTTTGCAACCCCATCATGCACCTTCCCCAAGGTGTCCGATAGTGTGGGGAAGAGAGACCGTGCAAAGATGTTTTCTTTTTCACTTTCTTTGCTTTTAGGTTCCAAGTCGTGCAATGCAAGAAATTTAATGTTCCTTTCAATATGTTTTCATAAAGACTCATATTTAGTCCTCGAGTATTTTCATTGTGTCATAAGACTACATTTTACGTTATGTGCTCAACATTTTCTAGCTTGAAAAAGTCTATGTTCGATTTCACTAAAAATTGTACAGCGTTGTAAAGGGGTGATCTTTTCCATGTGAAACAACGGCTGAGATCATGGTCCCTTTCAGTATTAGTGTTTGAGCTAAATGCATAATGCATATTTGTGGACAATCGCAATATTCTAACATTGCTCTCAAGTGAACAAGCAGAAAAGAATTTGCTGAATGCGTGAAGATGTTCAAAGATATTTATGACGACTCTGGAGCCATAATGTTACCAAAAGGTACTCAACAATTTTTCCCACGGCATACTATAAACTGTCAAAACGTATAGAAGGTTCAAAGCGTTGTAAGCGCATCAGTCACTTCAGTCATCCTTTCTCCCATAATGTTGCTACTTCTTTTTCTTTGCACCAGTCTCCCACCTTGAATTTCATGTCTTTCAATTCAAGCGATTCAGGAAATTACAATTAACACGTTGACGACGAGCTGTTTTTTTTGACGTCTGTCCCTGGACGAACCGTTTCCGGGCATTTTCACAGCCGGCTGCATGTATGTATGCATGCATCTATGCATGAGGTACAAAAAAGGCAAGTGGGCGGGGTAGCTCCGCCCACTCTTAGCAAGCCCCGCCCACTTTTCAAAAATGCTGGAAATGGCTCAAAATCAATGAATTCGTGCAAATTTCGGCATTTTTGAAAAAGTGGGCAGAGCTTGCCACTCAGTGGGTGCATAATGAGGGGCAGGGTCAAAATTAAAATTATTCAAGGTTCCCCAGTCATCTACGAGCTTTTCCATGCGATTTGAGAACGAAGAAAGTTTTTGTACGGGACAACGGAGTGGGCGGAGTTTGCCAAAAGAGTGGCGGGGCCAACATAAAAACTTCTGAGCCTAAATTGATTATGTGAATACAAATTGAAACCATGGTGCACATTAGAACTGGTATTTAGGGTGTCCGCACCATTGCGCGACATCGTCCAAAGGGACAAACTGCCTGTCGCGCACCATTGCGCGACACTGTCGTCAACGTGTTAACAATCTGCTTCTGGATTTTCAGCAATTTTTTCCCTAGAATAACGTATGCAAGACCGGACTCAACGAGCTTCATTTGATTCAAGATTACATAAACGCGTGAGTGAGAAGGCAGAATTTAACATCCGTGGAAACTGCATCTTAGGGAACATTATTTCCTTTATGTGCTTTTGTAAGAAAATGATTGCTTTTGTTTCGTCAATATATTGCTCTTGCAATGAATATCTTGCAAAAGCAAACACACTATCAAAGACGTTGAGTGCTGTTTCTGAGCTACAAACAGTCTAAAAGAGTGAGTAGGAGTGAGAAAAAAACTGTTCGGCTTTGCCATATTCAGCGTTTATATTGTTGTCGCTAAACAATTTTGTATTAGTCTCCGGGAGATAAGGTAACGGATTGAGCAATTTACACTTGATGACGCTTGGCAAAGACACAAATTTGTTGAACATTATGATTAAAATGGGCATCAAGGTTTAAGAAGCAAACAATTTAGCAATTAACTCATGGGCTTATGAATGACCGTGCCAAACGTTAAAGCTAGCATTTGCTGTGGAACAGGCACTACTGGATGAGATTATACTGCTGAATTCAGGAGCATCCAATGTACAATGTTTGCTGGTGATCGGGCACTTATGATAATGTTCTTTCGCTTGCCTCAGACAACGAAAGCTGGCAGAAAATTTCTATGCTATTAAAGGCAGCGTACACCCAAAATCTAAGTTACCACCATGTATACACTGGGCCCAGAAGAAGACCAACTGCGTTGATCCGGTCTCCCAATTTTGCTTCTGAGCGGATAAAACCACCCTCAATTTTCTTTCACTCCTCCCCTTTTCTTTCACTCCGCCTCCTGCGGACGAATCCACGACAGCGTAAGCTGCAGTTGCAGTTGCAGTTTCAGTTGCAACTGCTGTTGCCTGCAACTCCAGTTGCAACAGTGTGGTTGCTTTTTGCAGTCCGCCTACTTCGGACGACGAACCACGACATCATACGCTGCAGCTGCAGTTGCAACTACAGACTGTCATGCTGTTGCAGCTGCTGGCATGCCGACGGGGCCGAGCAGTTGGAAACCTTCCTTTGAAGAGAGGGTCCTCGGAAATCGGGGTTATTGGGACTTTTGGAGGGTTTCAATGTCATAACTGTAAACAGCGGCACGGAAAGGCCCCAGAATGACAAAAACATCGAAGGTGAAATTTTGGGTGTACGCTGCCTTTAAGGACAAGGATGGTACAGAGACATTGAATGTACTAGTAAGCTCAGCCGTTTGTCATAAAAAGCCATAGCAGCGGAGAGGCTGAGCGTACCTAAGTGTCCTCTTGAAAAGTCTTGATTCTGCAAATTAACTTAACATTGCCAGTCTATCTAACGAGGAAAAGATACTTGGTGGCCGTGGCCTTTCGCTATGTGACATACGTCATGACATTCGCCTTGGAACGCTGATCTCAAAACTTTATTCGTTATCTGCGGAACGATTCTTCGGAAAAACCTTATCTCCTTGCTTTTGACGTGTTTGCACAAGAGTACGAGTAATTTCAAAGAAGCTGAAGGTGTCGAGTGGTCTGGCGGTTGCGCTAATGGTTATTGGACAGTGGATGCCGGTTTGGTCTCCATCGACGAATATTCTTGCGTTAGCTTTACAAACGTTTCCACTACTCACAAGCATGGTGCATAGTTTCGAAATCAGCGCTTTAAGGTGAGCATTTAGATAAAAAGCATGTCTCAAAAGGCCAAGGCTACCAGTTATCAATCCTTTGTAAGATAATCGCAAGCTCGAAACACGTAGCAAAGCGCAAAATCATCTCTGTTGACCTATCATTTTTTAGTTTCTAAAAGATTTTTGCATAGATACGAAACATGCTAGGGATCTTGAAAGTGTTTCTGTTTACACGGCCTATAAGTGAGTGGGTGAGTGATATCCTTGGAACTTTTCATTTGAGTTCAAACATGGCACGCAAACCCCTGAGACAAGACGGAGCGGTATTTTGGGAACTCGAATCGCGTGGTAGCAATTCACAAGAAAACAAGAAAGAGAAGGTTTCCACTTTGAGGATTGTGTAGTGTCACGAGGTCTGCTCGTCGTTTCCCTTTCTTACGTGACTGTTGACTCAGTGTTTGCCATATGGACTGCCGCACATACTTTACAATGGTGGGAATGTGCTTGCTCACTTTGCGCTTCCTTTTATCTCTGAACCATCAGGACAATAACGACACAAAGTTGATTGCTCACTGAGCAATGAGGCCTTTCAAGTGGAAGTTATAAATAATATTAAACCACTCGGATACAAATCTACGCAATGAGTTCAACAATGACTTACATAATTATGTTGCAGATCTTTTTTAGACTAGTAATAGCGCTATAGTTTGGAAGGGTTCTCGCACAGAACGCTCTCGAATAGTGGTAAATAGGTACCTTTGGTTTGAAAGACTTCTCATATAGGTAGTAGAAAGTCATACTCAGTGTAGTACTGCATGAAATAGGAAAAAACATAAAAATCATTCGATTTCGTTTTCGCGATCCTCCGCACAATTTTAATAAATTCTCAAAGCTTGCAGAAAAATTGTCCGAACTTGGTTTCTCATCATGCCTTCAGCAGGACACCCAAAAAAACTATCAAAAAGAACAACACTCAGCTTTCAGTGACGAAGCCCTTGGATTTAGATGAAAACGATGAAAGTCAGTTTCCGAGAAAATTTACAGAATGGTACTTTTCCTACGCGGCCATTCTTAAATCAATTGTTGTGAGCTGTGTTAGCACTTACATGCAAACGGCATTTATACAATATTTTCCGAATGGCAAAATAAAAGTTTAGATGTTTTTTCCGAAATCCCCTCCAAAGAATTTTGGGCAAATTTTCCCAACAATTTAGTGGAAAACAAATTCTCAACTCTCAATAATGCCAATCCTTGGAAGAATTCCGGCAACGAAAATAGCCATTGATTTCTCGATTGGCTAGGTAGCGCTTACAGAACCTCACCAAAGAAAGAACTATTATACAATCTATAAACTCACTTTTGTTACTGGAAACGGTGCCTTGATCATTGAAAGAGTTCGAAGTTGAGAAACTATTCGTTAACAATTTTTCTATTCGATCGATCTTGAACGAAAAGCGTCATCTATTCATTAGCATGAGAATTCGCCGTAGCTGCCATTGTGTGCAAATCGTTCTATACTAATGTGCTTCTATGCATAATTATTTCCCAGTGGCCGTTGATTTCCATAGCTTTGGCCATTTACACCTTCTCCATATCCAGTCACAACATGAAAGTTTCCATACCTGCGTATAGAATAATGCTTATGATGTTGCGCATAAAGCATATTCAACACGTTTTGAAGAAGTTGTGTTGTTATTGTTATGAATGTCTAGACCTTTGCCTCCCGTGTATTGCTCAGTTGTCCGCTTCTGTCACTTATTTCCCTTCCTCAGTTTCTCTTCCAGT